GTGGTTTTATTTTTTGTTTTGTTGTTTTGTTTTTTGTTTGTTTGTTTTGAAACAGGGTCTCACTATGTAGTCCTGGCTGTCCTGGAACCTGCTATGTAGACCAGGCTAGCTTCAAATTCATAGAAATCCTTCTATCTCTGCCTCCTGCGTGCTGGATTAAAGGTATGTGCCACCACACCCAGCTAAGCTCCACATTTTTTAACTCTTGGACACACTCTTATCTCCTTCTGGAATCCCTGTCTCCCTGCCCCACCCCTCTGCTGGCCTATAGACTTGTTATTCCTCTGGTGTCTATGCTCATGCCTGGATAACTCCTGCCTTGACCTAGTAGTCAGAGATCATTTCTCCCTCCCCTGTGTTCTTGCTTCATGCCAACAGCCTAATTCTACCTTATATAAAAGCCTTCTCCACCACTGATATGTCCCCCTGTGGACTGCAATAAGCTCTTAAAGGCAGCATCCAGATTCCAATTATCTTTGTTGAGCTTCCTTCTGTGAGGGCTGAATGGCAGGGCTGACACAGACCAGGAGAAGAAAACCTCTTGCTGCCTATGGAAATGAAGGAACTTGAGGATGATTATCTCTCAGTGCCTGCCTCGTCTCAAAGGTCTGGCTCTAGCAGGACAACTGGAAACAGGAGCTAGTGTGTGCGGGTAGGATATTTTGTGCATTGCAATCACATCACATGAAAAGCTAAATACAAGCCCTGGGCTCAACTGTATATAGGGAGGTAGCTGCAGGGAAGGTTTTTTAAATGGCAATAAAATGACTTAAAAGTTACTTCTATTAAGAACCCGAGCCCTCGCAGGAATGGGTATATCCGGTAGCATGACATTCACTACACTCCAAGTTCAGATCTACAATGCACAGTCCATTTATTGGTTCAGAGAAGAGTTGATTTCAAACCAAGCAGCTCAGCTATCAGAAGGAAGGAAGATAGTATTAATTTTTCCATCTAAACTCCTCACCTGACTCCTCTCCACAGTAGGAAGAGGTTATTTTCTTTCAAGCTTAATTCTCAATCCTCCCTATGGCAAGAAAAGTGATTGGATATTGGGATTTTTAATGGTTTTGTCTGAAGTCATTTAAAATGAAGCTGAAATGTCAATAAGTAAGCCTGGTGTTGGATGGAGTGGATGGTAAGTGGAAGTGAACTTGAAACAAGATGAGGTTCATGATCCCTGGATAGCTGGGAGTAGATGGTGGAGGTCCCCTGGCTCTGTTCCAGTGAAGACAAAAGGACCACTTAGTGATCCTGTCACTGTCCCTAGCTTTCTAAACTATGGTTCTTCCAAAATACTTGTGTATATTTTATTTTCCTAATACATTGGCCTTTCCACTGTTTCTGCATGATTTGTTTTAGAAATATTCATTCATATTTGTATGAATATATTGCATACATCTGGAGACATATATATGCAATATATATGTCTCTCCCTGAGAGACAGGAGACAGATTTCAGCTCCTCCTGTTGGAGACTGTTCATCACAGCTGCATCCCTAAAGCTCCAGTCAAGGAGGTTTTTAACGTGTCTCCAGGCAAAGCTGTGATGTGTAAACTCTGCAGTGACTAATATCACTGTGTTTTACTTCCTCTCCACAGGGCTGTGGGAAACTCACAGCAGCAGAGGGCTTAAGCATTAGTGCTCCACATACATTTGAACCCAACACCACCTTGCAGGGCCCCGCCTGCCCTCCTGTGGCAGGGTTTTCACTCCTAGAGACCCATGAGCATGGGCATATCCCAGTCTCATTAAGACCTTCCAGGATGAAAAGGCCTTTGATTATTCAGAGCAGTGGGTCCTTGGGGAAGCCAATGCACAACTGTGCTCACCTGATTCTCAATTTATATTGCGTGTGCTGCCTCAGGGAAAAATTAACAGAAGCTCAAATCTCAAGCGCCATCCCTCATGCTTGCTCCTCCTCTGCTGCCTTCCTTAGAGTGCATGACTGAGATTTTTCTTTACGGTTTGTTTTGTTTTGTCCCTGGCTAGTGCTAAAGAGCCTTTCTGGTCTTGTCTTGTTCACATCCATTTTCGGTGTAGATGGCTTCTCGGCTTCATAGCATCTTCCTCATTATCTCAGAGGCAACCATGCAACCATTTCCACATATGCCCCCCCGCCCCACGCTTCTTCAGACACCTACTTGCCTATTTCTGTGAGCCTAATATCAAACCCTCCTGGCTTCCTGATCAGGGGCCAGCTCTAACTCCTGAGTCATAGAAGCCATTTCAAGGCCCTGGAAATCTCTTACTGGACAGATAAGCCAACCAGATATGCTGGCTCACACCTACCATCTGAGGACTTAGGGGCTAAGGCAGGTAGATGACTGAGCGTTCAAAACCAGCACAGGCTACAGTGTGACAGTCTCAAAAACAACAAAATAGCAGTTGAAGCAGCTGAGACCAGAGGAACAGAGTCAGTTCTGAAAGGGAAAGAGCCTGGCTGAGCCTCCCTCCTCACCCTCCTCATCCCTGGCAGGGGGAGGACCAAAGGGGATCATCCTCAACCCCTCCTTTGCCCAGTGCTAGCCAGGCAGGAGCTCCAGATCTTCCATGGGAGGAGGGCACAGCATGCTCCCTAGTACCAAATCCTGGCCTGGACACCCAGCTATGCCCACATTAATTCCCAGATGTGACTGAATTCAACTGGAGACAAGCTTTCCACGAGGAAGATCACTCGTTTAACTTGGTGAAGATTTAAAACTGTTTTCCTTTTGTGAAAATAAAGTATGATCTTAAAAAAAAAAATCACATACATGTTTAGGAGTACAGTTCAGAGATAAAGTGCTTGCCCAGTATACGCAAGATATGCTAGTTTATCTCCAGTACCCACCCCCATTCATGTACAAAGCCAGATGATGTGGCACAAGCCTGTAATCCCAGCATTTGGAAGGCTAAGTTAAGGAAACAATGTTGAGAGTTTGAGGTTAATTTAGGCATGAGACTGTCTCAAAAAAATCAGATCAAAACAAACAAAAAAACACTCCATGCAAGCTCAAATCAGAAAAATGCTAGTATAGACAGTGGGAATCGGGTAAGAAGCCCCAACTAAACCTAAAGAAATGTTGGCTACTGATGGCTGCTGAGAGGAGGAGAGACCATCTCTTTCGAGAACAGAACTCTTGGTAGGTTAAACAGACTCCAGTGGATGGACCCACACTGAGGGAAATTTGGGGACACAAATTAGACTCTATAGGCCTGATTATAATATGAGAGTACATTAAATTGGGTGGAGCAATGAGAGGAGGTACAGATAGGGGAGATGATCTAAATACCATCAAATTATATTATATGAAAGTGGCAAAAATTCTGGGACTGAAGAGATGGCTCAGTGGTTAAGAGCACTAACCCAGCTTTGATTCCCAGCACCCACATGGCAGCTAACAACTGTCTTTAACTCCAGTTCCAGAGGACCTGATGCCCTCTTCTAACCTCTGTAGGCACTGCACAACACAGGTGCACTTACATACATGCAGGCAACATACTCAAACACATAAAATAAAAACAGTAATAAAATATTTTAAAAAAGAAAAAAAATTCAGTTAAATTTTTTTAAAAAACAGCAACAAACACCCAAACAAAAAAGCTTAAAAAATCCATATAGAATATACATACTATATAGTAAAAACTTGAAACATTTACATATCTGTACTATCTACTCATTCCAGAGATGACCATTTAGTCATTGAGGTCTTTGTCTATGTACATGCAAAATATGTGCATGTAATTGCTGCTGTCTAGGAGCCTGAACCAGCTGCTACTAGCAGCTCTCTGGAACTCCCGAAGTCAGAGCCTGTAGCTCCCAGAAACTCTCCGTTGCTTTCTACCACTCTGTCATTCTCTGCTAGCCACCCTCAGTGTTACTAGCCCTGGCTGCTGGCCACTTTCAACAGCTGCAGTCTTTAGCGTTAGCACATTTTGCGTAACAAGCCCAATCTGCTATACTCCAGGTGGAAATCACTGACATGCAAACTAAAACCATCTGAAAGAAACTATTAGGCTGGGTGTGGTGGCGTACACCTTTAACCCCAGCACCAGGAACGCTGAAGCAGGCAGATCTCTATGAGTTCAAGGCCAGCTTGGTATACTTAGTGAGTTCCAGGCCAGTCAGGGCTACATAGTGAGACCCTGTCTTAAAAACAGCAACAAACTGTATTTGGGCTTACCCTGCAGTGTAAAGGGGAGCAGTACATAGACTTCTCAAAAAGGGTGAGGGGTGCTGCTTATACAGAGAAAGAGGGAGAGCTCACACATGTTTAGTGTCCTGTTGACTAACTGGTTGACTTTATACATAGTCATTCTAGGCTGCACAGACATACTGGGTCTGCCTGCTCTGACTGGCTGTCAATGGGTAGAGGCTGGGCTGCTTGAGGACCCTAGTGCTCATATCAGAGTCTGTGGGATGACTCATCTGGAACTACCACAGGGCATCTGAAGCCTCCATACCCAAAGCAAAGTCTCCAGGAGGAGTAGTAGGTCATCTCTTAGGGGAAGCTGGACCCTGCTCTTGTCTCACTTGTCCCAGGCTTTGTTGGGGAAGGAGCTCCTGGGATGGCTATAAATATGGTCACAGAAGGGGGCTAGACTCCACAAAGCCCCACCAGCAGGCAAAGGGCTTGCTGCTCTCTGGACCAGGCAGACAGGACAACCAGCATATCTGGAGGCTTGCAGGAGGCCAAGTGAACCCCCAGGAGTGGTGAGGTGAGAAGAGAGCCCCCCAATGCACTCTTCTACTCTGACCAACCTGGGTCTTCCTAGCTTTTAGTGTCTCTCTTATAAAATGGAGCTGATGGCCTTTGACATGTCTACCTCAAAGGCTACTGAGACAGATAGCAGGCTGTGTGGGGACTCCCCTCATCCTGGGGAAAGCTACATAGCCATTGGGTCCCATGGTTATGACAAGTGAGTTAAATGCTGTTAAGATGGCTCTCAGGCTGAGGTGCGACCCCAGCAAATCTAGACAAGTCTGACTCTATGGTCTCCTCTCTTCCCCAACACAGGGCAGTCCTTCTACTCCCGGGTCCTGGAGAACTGTGAGGATGTGGCTGACTTCGATGAGGTAAGGTGTCTGAGTCCCTCTCCCAGGCCTCTCCAGGAAGCACCCCTCCCTGACCTCTTGGGTGGGCTCTGGTCCCAAACTCCAGGTGTCTGACTTCCTAGCCTCATCTCTGGTGGCTTCCTGGAAGGAGGTGTGGTTTATGAGTGTGGAAGAGCCTCCATCCAGAGCCCCCTCAGGAGTCTCCACAAAGCCGAAACCCATGCAGTAAATAAATAACAGAGTTGAACAAATCAGGTCTAACTTGGCAGCCACTGCCTAATCCGGGCCCATTTGTTTCTTCTGAAGAAAGGACCCACAAGGGCTATGAGGACTTGGTGTGAGGCTTTGACCTTTAAGAGCCCAATGGGGTTTCCATGGGGGTCTTTCCTCAGTGTCTTCTGGAATCCGTAGAGTAACCAGGCAAAACCCACCTGCTGTTCAACATCCCACAGGACCCACCCTTTCTAAAAGCATCAGGGTATGTCTCCTGCCTCAGTCTTCAGAAACTTCCTGGATGGGATCATTGCAAGACAAACACATACAGTGGTTTCCCCAAAGCCTATACTTCTTTTGAACTACGGACTTGGAGCACTGAGTGTAAAAATGGTTTGCGTGTCTGCGGTGCATTGTCTCTTTGCCCCCTGTGAGGCCCCACTTTGGTTTTTCAGTATGTATATGTGTGTATTTTCTCTTTGCTCTCCATTCTTTCCCCCCATTCTAATGTATTTAATGTCTTCTTTCTAGTGTCCTGTATATTCTTGCAAGGTTTGGATTGTTGTAAGCATATGTTTATTTACTGAATGGCAATATGCTAAATGTTTTCTCTTTGTTCACTGTGTACCGTTTCTAAGTTCCATCTGTGTTGCATAGTGCTGCTGCTTGGGACACAGTCAACACAAGATGACCAACCATCCTGGCCTGCCTGGGGTACAGAGGACTCTGAGACTCAGACTTTCAGTGCTAACACTGGGAAGCCCTGGACAAGCAGGATGAATTGTCACCTGTCCTCTCTACCAGGCAGGTTCCCTAGCTCATCCCACTAGAAATGCAGTAAATAGTCTTTGGCACCTGTGTGAGGATCTCCCAGGTATGAGTACCAGGATCTGGAATCTCTGGTTCAAAATGTTTGCAGACACTTAATGAGACCCAGCAAGACCACAATCTGTGCTTCCACGAGCAGAGTGTGATACTTCCTCTGCCCACATCCTCATCTGTAACTGACATCTCCCAGCCTCTTGATTTTAACCAGTCCAACAGGGGTCTCTCACTTACTGTATACTTCTCTGATTACTAATGGATTTGAACATCTCTTAGTATGTCTTTAGCCTTTTAGTTTCCTCTTTTGTAAGTTTTCTGTCATATTCCTTGCATTTTACCAGTTGGGAGATCTGGTTTTTTTCTTACTAATTTTCAAATCTTCTTTGTATATTCTAGGTATCAATCTAAGTTGGTCTTAGATATTGAAAATACTTGCTGGGGATTTAAGTCAGTTGATAGAGTGCTTGCCTAGCATGCACAAGCAAGTCCTGGAATCAGTCCCCAACTCTGCATAAACAAGACATGGTGGCACATGCCTGTAATCTCAGTACTAAGGAAGTAGAGGCAGGAGGATTAGAAGTTCAAGGTCATCTTCGACTACATACTAAGTTTGAGGCCAGCCTAGGCTACGTGAAATCTTGTCTCCAAAAACAGGAAAGAAGGAAGGAAGGAATGAAAGAAGAAAGAAAGAAAGAAAGAAAGAAAGAAAGAAAGAAAGAAAGAAAGAAAGAAAGAAAGAAAGAAAGGAAAGATACCTTCTCCTAGTTTGTCATCTAACCCTGAATTGGTGGTATAGCTCATTGGTCAAAAGTTCATAATCCTCAGATGCTTTCACATATTGTTCAAGTCTTTTCTTTCTACTACATTACAAATATGCAATATTTTCTGAGTTCTAGTTATATCTTTTACCCTGTATTTGGTATTAGATAGAAATCCAGGTTTATTTTTTGTATGTAAGGAGCAACCTCTCTTGCATCATCTTCTGTCCACTTACTATTAAGGTATGTGAGTCCCAGCCTTCTGATCTACCCATTCGTCTGCAATCTGCTCTGTCACTTTCGTTAAGTCGCCTCTTCTGTGTGTCTTCATAACCTCTGTCTTAGTTTGCTTTCTATTGTTCTGATAAAACACTCTGATCAAAATCAACCTGGGGAGGAAAGGGCTTATTGCATCTTACACTTCCAAGTGATAGTCTATCCTTGAGGGAAGTCAGGCAGGAACCCAGGGCAGGAACTGAAGCAGAGACCACAAAGGAACTTGCTCCTCTGGCCTGTGCTCAGCCTGCTTCCTTATAAAACCCAGAACCACCTGCCCAGGGGTGGCACCACCCACAGCAGGCTAGGCCCTCCCACATCACTCAACAAGCAAGAAAATGCCACACAGACATGCCCACAGGCCATCTGGATAGAGAAAACTCCCCAGGTGAGGCTCCTTCTTTCCAGGTATGTCAAGTTGACTGCTTAAGCCAACCACATCTTTTCTTTTTCCTTCCCAGTAGTGGAATCAGACTCAGAACCTTGCACACAGAGGCAAGCAGTCTAGCCCTGAGCTTCATCCATCTTCTTCTTTTTAAAAGTTAAACTTTTATTCTTCTAGGTAACTTTTAAAATAAATTTATCAAATTCTACAAAAACCCAATTGGGATTACTTTTTTCTTTTTTGAGACAAGCTCTCCCTACATAACCCGGATGGCCCTCAAATGTATGATCCTCCTGCCTCAGCCTAGAAGTCTCTGGAACAACACATACAAGATAGGAATTATTCTTCCTTGACATTCTGGAAGACACAAACATAAAAATATCCAAGTCTGGATATTTTGGAAAACTATGATTCCATTTCCAGTTTCTTTTCTTGTAACAACTCGGGCATTCATATATTTCCAGGCATTTTTACATTTCATTTAAGTTTTCAAGTTTATTAGTAAACACACACACACACACACACAGAGACACACAGACACACACACACACACACACACACACACACACACACGATCCTAATATTTTGAAGCCATTTAAAAAATCTTTATTATACCTACTGGCTACCGCTCCCTTTTATTCCGTTTCTTGGTCAGTCTTGCTGAAGGTCTATCTCATTACTCTTTGTAAAGAACAAGATTTTGCCTTCATTAGTTTCCTTTCGTGGTAGTGTCTCCAAGTCATTGACTTATTCCGCTAGTTATTTCTCTTCTATTTTGGTTTTCTCTGAGCTTTTTTTTTCTTCTTGAGTTGAGTGATAACATAATCATTTTTTTAAAACATTTCTTCTTTCTTAATAAATATACTCAAGGGGCCAGAGAGATGGCTCAGCAGTTAAGAGCACTGGTTGCTCTTGTAGAGGACTGGGGTTTGGTTCCCAGCACCCACATAGCAGCTAACATCATCTGTAACTCCAGTTCCAGGGGATCTGATGCCCTGTTCTGACCTCTGTGGGCATTGTACAACACAGGTGCACTTACACACATGCAGGCAATACACTCATGCACATAAAATAAAAATAATAAATTTTTTTTAA